CTGTTCAGCTGTTAGTGTTCAGCTGTAAGTGTTATTCTTTTTCAGCTGTTAGTGTTATTCCTGTTCAGCTGTTAGTGTTATTTAGTCTGATGGTAAAATTCATCATATATTCTTACATTGTAAATGATAGTTTTTGTGTATATTTAAAGTAAATTTTTTGTTTATGTATTTTTTGTGTTTATTGACTACATATTATGTGTTCACTGTTATATAATGTATGTAACAGCCTGAGAGAGGTCCAGGCAGTGCTGCTGAGAAAGACTCTGTCACAGGGAGGAAGAGGTGACAAGATGGCCGCCCTGCTGATGAAGCACATTGAGAGGGAGACGAATAAAGTTCACAGTGCAACCTCCCCTTTTAATGCTTCCTCATCCTCCTCGCTGAAAACAAGTGTGAAGACGTTCCACACCCAGAAGGGGCAGTACAGCGTCCATTTCAACACCCTGACAGGTCAGTGATGTCAGTTATTTGAATGTTTTTTTTACACTTACATGTTTCATATTGTCAGACAGTTTTAATATTAGATAAAGCTAACCCAGGTAAATACAAAATGCAGTTTTTTAATGATGATTTTGTTTATGAAGGGAAAAAAATCTCCTTAAAGCCCTGTGTGAAAAAGTAACTGCAGCCGTTGTTAAGTTGGACATTTATTAACTTTACTCTTTGGAAAGGATAGTTTTTTTCCCCCTTTAATACATGAAGTTATTGTTAGAAAACTGTGGAAGCAAACCAATATTTCCATCTTGACCAAAATCCGCCTTTTCCGGACGCTGATCCTGCTGATTTTACTCTATGGATCTGAAACGTGGACTGTGCTCAAAGAAGACCTCAACAAACTTGAAGTTTTCCAGATACGCTGCCTTCGACAGATATTACGAGTATCACTTCGAGGCCGCCTTCGAAACAAGGACATCCGACGGAGATGCGACAACCAACCGCCAATTGAGGGGCAAATTCAAAAACGCTGATTGCGATGGTTTGGCCATGTGTGTTGAATGGATGGGAGGAGACTACCACATCAACTCCTCTGGCGTAAACGACCCACCCAGTAGAGAATCCACCGAACGGCACCGAAGAAAACATGGCTAAAACAGGTCAAAGATGACATCAGGGGCAGAATAAATCTTGATGAGGCCAGGACAATCGCCAACGATCGCCATGCATGGTAACGAGTTGTGAAGGAAATTCTACAACCATTGGCACCCACAGCAGTGTATGGGCTTAGGAGTCGATCCAGACCCAACGCCAGCTAGGGATCAAAGAGAAAGAGAACAGAGGCAAACAGGAGTTAACTGCAGCTAATGGCAGCTAACAGCAGCAAAAATAAACACTGAGGGCCATGAGTGCAAAAATAAATTGATTGAATTATTTATTAATGTATTTAATGTTTCAACAATTAATGGAACCAACTTGATAAAAAAAATTAAATAGTTTGTTAATCACATGCATAATTAATACAGAAAAGACAGAAAAGTTCAGGGTATACTCAACAACTAGCTTTAGTGACACTGTCATCAGACAGACGTGAGCGTCACCCGCTCAAATCGACTCATATCCAGAGTATGTAGACGTGGACACATACTAACAGCTGAGGCAAGCAGCGGACTGACAGCCTACACTCAGCATGAATGAGAGCTTTTTGTCCTACAGCAGCCATTGTAGCTAGGATTATGCTACAGTGGGAATGCAAGAAAACATAACTGCAATCTGCTGACATCTAGTGGTGAGATTTTACACACTGTAACTTTAAGTGTGAGAAATAAGCAAAAAAACGAAGAAATCAAGAACGGGCCAAAGTTTGATAAAATAGCACAAAAGACAAAATTGTGTCCAATACTGGACCTGATGCTGATGAGACAATAACCAAAGGTGGAGGTTGACTCTGAAATAAATTTAAGTAAAATACAAACAATCTTTATGATGCACCCTTTGCACTCTAAGGTTGCCATATTGGCTTTTTCATATAATTTCATATAAAAAGGGTGCCAGATTAGCTCAGTGGGTGCTCAGCAACTATGTGCTGCATGTAGTGGCCTGGGTTTCAGTCCGACCCTTTGCTGCATGTCTTCCTCTCTCTCTTTCCCTGTTTTCCTGCCTCTCTCTATCCAATAAAGGCTAAAATGCCAAAAAAAATAAAAATAAGTTAAAATTCTTGTGTGGTGTTACAGATTTCACAGCGCTCTTAACGTGCCCGATCATGTTTGGGCACAGTAAGAGTAACCGTGTATTCGCCTCACATACCACTACGTGTGGATCATTATTTTCTCTAATAACCTGAGCGGAGTCGATATGTTGGTGCTGATGGATAAAAGGCGCGCGTCTATCAGCCATGCGCTGCAGGAATGCGCTGTTTGTTTCCACCCACCATGTGTTAATGGAGCTGGAAGCCATGTTTTCATTGTGCGCTTCAGATAAGGACAGCGTTAATGCGGTGTCAGAGTCCGGGCCTGATCGCCGTGATTAGACCTGTAAACAGTTCCTGTCTTTGTTCTGCTTTGGGGAGAACCCGGTTCATGCAGGAACGGCTGAAAGCTGCAGATGGAGGCTTTCTCATAGCTCTGGTGGAAGCTGGTTCTGAGAGGTTTCCAGTTTGGCTTGATCTGAGTCCTTTTATTAAGGATGACTGGAACACATGCATCCATAATTTTTGTGTGTTTGTCCATCATTGTCAGATTATCAGTTAAAAAAACAGTTGACAACATAAAAACAAACCCAGGTCCAAAAAAACTGAGTTTATGAGTTTTGTTATGTACCATTAACAAAAATATTAGCTGGCACCTGTTGGTGAGCTGCAAAATCCTCCTTTGCACACCTTTGTTGTTCACTTTTTAAAAGGAATAAAACCTGCAGCTCCCGCTGGCATCAAACGCCGGCCGTCAGCTCCCGTTTCCTTAAACTGTGACAGAGCAGATCATTATGAGCATTTGTGAAAGCTGACTCCTGCGGTGAGAGCGGAGCCTTAAGAAACTGGTGGTGCTGTAATAACAATAATAATATTGCTTGTTTTGTTTCTGCCTTACAGCAGCTCTCTGTCTGTCAGTCAGGACATGAGCTCATAGGAAAACACCCACAGGAACAACCAGCCTCTATTCCAGCCAGAGCCACAGCCTCACCTCTGCTGGGGCCCCCGTTACTGGTTCAGTGACACGGGGCCGGTTTGGAGTGCGCAGTGTCACCCTGTGAAGTCCAACAGTGGTTCAGTTTTATTTATACAGCACAGAACCTCAATAATATTCACCTCAAAGTGCTTTATACTGTGAGGCAAAGACCCAACAATCAGACGGCCCCCTATGAGCAGCCGTGTATCGCTGATCTGACGAAAAGGCTCAGCCTCCCATTCTACAGGGTGGGCCATTTATATGGATACACTGTCATAACATGGGAATGGTTGGTGATATTAAAGTCCTGTTTGTGGCACATTAGTATATGTGAGGGGGCAAACTCCTCAAGATGGGGGGTGACCATGGTGGCCATGTAGAAGTCGGCCATCTTGGATACAACTTTTGTTTTTTCAATAGGAAGAGGGCCATGTGACACATCAGACTTATTGGTAATGTCACAGGAAAAACAATGGTGTGCTTGGTTTCAACGTAACTTTATTCTTTCATGAGTTATTTACAAGTTTCTGACCACTTATAAAATGTGTTCAATGTGCTGCCCATTGTGTTGGATTGTCAATGCAACCCTCTTCTCCCACTCTTCACACTCTGATAGCAACACCGCAGGAGAAATGCCAGCACAGGCATCCAGTATCCATAGTTTCAGGTGCTGCACATCTCGTATCTTCACACCATAGACAATTGCCTTCAGATGACCCCAAAGATAAAAGTCTAAGGGGGTCAGATCGGGAGACCTTGGGGGGCCATTCATCTTCAACAATGACCAATCCACTTTCCAGGAAACTGTTCATCTAGGAATGCTTGGACCTGGCACCCATAATGTGGTGGTGCACCATCTTGCTGGAAAAACTCAGGGAACGTGCCAGCTTCAGTGCATAAAGAGGGAAACACATCATCATGTAGCAATTTCAAATATCCAGTGGCCTTGAGGTTTCCATTGATGAAGAATGGACCCACTATCGTTGTACCCCATATACCACACCAAACCATCACTTTTGTTGTTCCAACAGTCTTGGAGGGATCCATCCAATGTGGGTTAGTGTCAGACCAATAGTGGTGCTTTTGTTTGTTATCTTCACCATTCACATAAGTTTGCCTCATCACTGAACAAAATCTTCTGCGTGAACTGAGGGTCCTGTTCCAATTTTTGTTTTGTTCATTCTGCAAATTCTGTGCGCCGATCTGGGTCATCCTCGTTGAGATGCTGCAGTAGCTGGAGTTTGTAAGGGTGCCATTTGTGAGTAGCTGATATCCACCGAAGGGATGTTCGACTAATGCCACTCTCCGATGACATGCGGCGAGTGCTACGCTGTGGGCTCTTGCTGAATGAAGCTGGGACAGCCACTGACGTTTCTTCATTAGTGACAGTTTTCTTGCGTCCACATTTTGGCAAATCCAACACTGAACCAGTTTCACGAAACTTAGCAAGCAGTTTGCTGACTGTAGCATGGGAGATGGGTGGTCTCGTAGGGTGTCTTGTATTGAAATCTGCTGCAATGACCCGGTTACTGCGTTCACCAGATATCAACACAATTTCGATCCGCTCCTCACGTGTTAACCTCTTCGACATGTCAATGGCTGTGAACAAAGAGAAACTTGTAAATAACTCATGAAAGAATAAAGTTACGTTGAAACCAAGCACACCATTGTTTGTCTTGTGACATTACCAATAAGTTTGATGTGTCACATGGTCCTCTTCCTATTGAAAAAAAAAAAAGAAAAGAAAAAAGTTGTATCCAAGATGGCCGACTTCTAAATGGTCACCATGGTCACCACCATAGCTGGACTGGCCATCGGGCATACCGTCACATTTTCAATCTTTATCCTGGTGGGCCGGTCAGAGGCGGAGCCAGACATTTGAAACACCCGGGGCTTAGCCCTAAAGGGTAGTATGCATGTGGGATTTTTTTTTTTTTTTGGGGGGGGGGATGACTGAAAGATTAATAGGCTGTGTTTTGAGTTTTGTTCAAAAAAGAATGACTTCATATAGGGAAAAATATATATCACACATGCAGGACACTTTAAACTAGTTTTTTAATTAAGCAGCGAGGCAGAACAAAGTCGGGGCTGTATCAAGACACAAGGACTAAACCCCAATTCAACCAGACCCAGAACTGATCCGGAATTAAAACAGGACTACAACAGTCCAAAATCAGGACTACTGAGGACTTAACCAAGACAGAACCAGAATCAGAACTAGATGATAGTAGCACTAAAAATCATCATAGACCTGCACTACACTTGTTTTTTTAATTCTACCAAAGTCCAATATTTAGATTGAGAAAAGTTTATATAATTATTCAGCCTTGTTGTACAAACAAGCTGCAAAACTTAATAAATGTAGAATTTGAAAAATAGCAAACCTAAAAAGAAACACTAGGTACGAGATACATGAGGACCTGTGATACACTGATACTTCTGGTAAACGACCATTTGACTAACATGTGAGTCTCACCTGCTCTTGTTCCTCTCTTCCTCTTTGTGCTGACAATCATCAAATATACAGATATTTACAAACTCTTCAGATAAAAACACTTTTTTAATTGTAACATCAAATCAGACTAAATGTTTATTTTTTAGATAAATATAAAAACATATTTGTTAACTTTAAGAGTAAAGAGAGAAACTGTCTGTATTTCTTGTAAATGGCACCAAATTGTATTCAAACTGAGCCACACTTATGGAGCTCCACGATTCTCTTCCTGATGTTTTGTTGACATCTCCTGATGTTCCCATGTCACAGAAACAGCCTCTGTGTTTTGCCTTATATGCATCCACAGCTGTGCCACCAGTTTACTCACATGGACTCTACGAACCAATCAGAAGCTTCTTC